AGGCAGCAGCAGCGGCGGCGGCGGAAGCCGAGGAGGTGAACTGGAGCATACCAAAGGCCGCCAACAGGGACATGCTCTTGGGACGGCTTGGGGCCTACAATGCAAAGAATGAAACGGGGTACAAAACGCCGCGACATACACAGTAGTAGGTGGGCTAAAAGATGCAAAGTCGTGATCGAAATTGTAGTTGGTAGTCTTAGCATAGTTGGTCTCGTTATTTTGATATGGTGAGTTGAGTTGATTCTGAAAAAAAACCTTTTAGCAAAGAAATCTGTTAGTTTAATTAGATTTATTTAAGGGAGACGGACAACATCTGGCGAAATTGGATGTTGCCGGATAAAGAACAAAATTTCCTATGACAGAATGAAACCCTTTATTCTTATTTGTGCTATAGAAGGTCACTAATAAAGCAAGAAAATATTAAAATATACCCCTTTCAGAACTGGAAAATCTAGTGATAAGTTGATGAAACTCGGGAATTCTCCAAACCATGTTAACAGAACTCTGAGTTAGGGATTTCGAAACGCGGATCCCAGTGCAGCAGCCCGAAATGTTTCCCGATCTCTATACCTTTGTATCACTGCTGTCTCCTGCACGAAAACAATTTTACAGGAGGTTCCGCGATACTATTCAAAAGCCTACGATGCCCAAAGAGTATTAGGACCGCACTTTGTAGGTAGCACAGGTACAGGTAATGATAGTCGGCCAGACGGATCAATCTATTATCTTCTAACAAGCCCCCAGGCCTACCTTCTCAAAAATTGAAGTATTCCCCTCAGGCCTAACACACTGTGACTTGAGCTCCTGCGGACGTAATAACATGTTTCCTGTCTTGAACGTTATATTCACAAAATGCATGAAGTTCATGCACGCACGGAATACTATATCAGTTGGACAGCCGAAACGACAATCGATCAAAAGTCAGCACACTACTACAGTAGGTTAGCTAACTCATGCAAAGTCGTGATCGAGATTGTAATTGGTAGTTTTAGCATTCAGTTGGTCTCCTTATTTTGATCTTATGAGTGAATTTGATCCTGAGAACGCTTTACTGTAGGTGAAAACGGCTTATTTAATTGAGGTTATTGAGGAGAGACTGGCTGAATTTCGGCGAAGTCGAAGGTTACCGGATATCAAACAAATCGCCTATGGCAGACAGAATCATGTTTATGCGCTGTGCCTTTATAGGAGATCACCAATAAAAGCAAGAAACAATTAAATGCATCCCGTCCAGAACTGGAAAATTCAGTTTTAAGTTGATGAAAATCAGGTTAAGATAAGTTTCAGGAATCGCACTGTTTTCCATAAACAAGGAAAGATTTCTGTTTTAAACAGGTTTTTGTCAATTTCTGAAGTTTTGTCATAAAATGCACTAAAAATTGTTTTTGTCACAATGCGTCTTACCGCATGAAAGATTTTGGACCGTACACAAAAATTTATACATTTTATCGTGCACACGAAGGGAAAAAGCAATCTCCATAAACCTACAGTATGCGGCAAGATACTCTTTGTACAATGCAGTTTCCGTTAAAACGCAATCTAGACGCGGAACAGGCAGAAAGCTAACAGATTTCGCAAAATATTAGCATATATTCGGGCACCCTTTTTTGCATTCAAAAGCTTAGAGCGGGACTTGAAAGTAATTAACTACGGTGAAAAATTCTTTTTTGATAAAGCGAAAAGTGAGTTCTTTCGTTCCCAAGCGATCATCAATCCTTAGCAAATGAGTTAGCATGAGTTTCAGCCCGCGCTGTAATTCTAGCACTTGTACTATGACTTTCGTTGTCGAAAATACTGTAATTGGCTTAGTCAGCAGGTGGGTTTTAATCGGCGGTGGGATATATATGGCGAAAATCTGCAGAAACATTCGCGTCAAATTGGTGATTAGATCCGATTGCAGAACGGAATGAGAACGCCCCCTCTGGCAATTGAAGTTTCGGTCTCAACTCGTATGTGTACCTGTGAATGCATAGGAGAGGTGGTAAAGGAAAGTGGCACATAAGCGACTACAGTGTAAAGCCACTTCAACAAAATAGTCAGTTGAACGAGTAGACCATGAAAACTTTAGACAATAGACGTGCGTGGACAACTGAGTGAGAACGGAATCTTTATGTGCCCTGAAAATCAGTCGCTCAAATGAATTGAGTTAAATAATACCAAGAATTAAATTAGCCGATACGTATGAAATAGCCTCCTACACCATCGTCGCTGACTTACACAAGTCGCCTTTCATGAGGTAGTCGTTGCTATCATCATCTCGAATAAAGCAGAATTGTTATGAGATCAGGTTGTATAGAATTGCTATGCACTGGGTGGTAATACACATGATAATTGCACATACACGTAGCAAGATCTGTTGTGAAAAGCGGACATGTGCATTAAATATTTATGAAGAGGAGTTTTGCAATTTCTATTTTTGTCTTCCGTGACCTGCTTGCTTAGTGAAACAGCAGATAAATGGCTATTGCTAAATATCGGTGTACTGCTGTAAACCATGCATTTGCTGTCCCAAAAGCGTGCAGGAAAACAACTTGAACAAAATAAGCTGCGATCGCGAGAACATGGTGTATATTCGCCTGACGTTTCAGGATACTTAGTCAACCTATCGGGATCTACCTAAGTCATGGTTCTCGGACCCCCGGTCGACTTATAAGCACAATGACCTCGCGGCTCCAAATTCTGTCCTGCGATGTGGCCTGGGCAAAATTACCAGACACGCGGGGACGATGCGGGTGACCAGCAGTCCAGGGGACAGCAAGCTAACTTGCTAAGTCATTATCACGCCAAGAGCAGACAACGGTGACGTAATCAGTGAAATTAACGACTCGAATACGGACCAAAAACAATCCTCGCACCAACTACGACCCCCCAGCGATGCACAAGACGACTACCAATCACAGTAGGCGTGTGCTGGCCCGGCAACTAGTGGTCGCTCATTACTATTCTCTGCAAATGTCTCTGAGGATGGGTTCAAGAGAGGTCCCGAAATACCAGGCCAATAACCACCATGCTCTAAGGATCACATTTTTTCTCTTCTGAATTGCTTCCTGGAACACGCCTGTATACTTCTAACGGGGTCTCCAAACTAACCTGAGGCACCGATTTCTCCGGATTACTGCTGCTGCTACTGCTGCTACTGGCATCGAAACCAGTACGCCGAAGAAGGCCACTGGAAGGCCGGAGTCCAGCAGTTGGCTTTGCTGGCACGATAGCACCGCCTGATTTGCCCTCTAGGACGCTGGAATGACGCTTGTCGGAGGCATACTGCACTCCAGCACCATCCACTCC